CAGCGCGTCAGCCATGCTGTTTCGTCCGCAACGCAAAGTTAGGGCCATGGAAATTACGTCGGCATCTGTAGCCGCAGGTAGCCCCGCTGGTGGTGCAATGGAGGTTTCTTCGTGTTTTGTCGCTGTCGGTGTCCAGGGGGGCGTCTGTGTAGTGTGCTCCACGCCCGAGGCCCTCCAGGTCCTCGCCGCCGGCGTCGCTGCCGTCTTCGACCGTCTTGGGTATCTTGCGCGGCTTGATGCCGGATGATTTGTCTGCCCTCTGCTTTTCTTTTTCCTTTATCCGGGCATCGGCACGTAAAGCTGCGCGTTGTTGCTCGGGCGAAGTAAGCGTCGGAAACTCGGCTCAATCGAGGGGGGAAGAAGACGATCGTCGTCGACGGTCGCAACCCGCCTTGGGCGCGGTCGCTGTTCCTCGCTTCCGAGTAAGACTGACGCCGAAGGCTCCCAGTACAGTCGAATACGAATGCTCGTCACATCGTCTGGTAACGGTGCATTGTAGGTGTACCCGACTGGGTGATCTTGAACCTTGATATCCTGTATGATAGTATTGTCGTTAAGGTTCATCGTCACCCGGCGCACCACATAGTCCCACTGAGGGCCATGCTTAGGAGACTGGACGTAAGTCCGAGCTCCGTTGTCCACTCGAGTGTGTATGCTGAGGTGTACAGCACGTCTGTGATTTCTCTGTTGTATGCTAATCTATTTTGTCAAGTAGCACTGCAGTCATGATAGTTGTCGTTATATTTCGGCATTCCGCCCTCTGGGCGCCTCGGCCGTACCAATCTCACTCATGCTCTGCTTGTCGAGCCAATTTTCCCGCGATTTGGCACGTGCGCTTCCGCGGACTAGCGGGCATGCGCGCGTAGGCGGCTGCCGCCCGTAAGCGCGAGCCGCTCGGTAAACGACTCGAGCGGTCGAACTTCAGACCAACGCGACAACGTCGCATTCGCATGATCTGCAAGCCTAAATCTTACATGGCAGCACGTATAGGACCCGCTCTCCAGAAATAGCCTGGAGATCCCAAATGTACAATGGGCCTGCGTAAAGCCCGAGCTTTGACCATTAGATTTTGGATGCGTGGATAATGTGGCCCCGCCCGCTTCCCAGGTGATCGCACATGCCAGTCAGCGGGCGCCGCCGCCCGCAGCAGTTGGCACTCCCCCGAAAATAAACCGCCCAAGTACCGTGCACCGGTCAAGGTCACAACCTCGGCGCGCGTAACACGGTCGCGCATGCATCCTCGAGCTCGGAGTTCAGCGCAAGCAATTCGCAGGTCCTCGATGACAAGGGCGCGAGAATGATATCTTTGAGATGAGCGATCATTGTCCGCGGCAGCCGCGCGGCCAGGTCCGCCGCTGCCCCTGGCGCGCGCAGCCGGCGCCCGGGAAAAGTACGCAGGCGCCCTCGCGCCTGAAGACAGCGCCTCAGCGCCCAGCCTGTCCGGGCAAGCGCGAGCGGCCGTGGCGCGCGCCTGCCCCCGCCATTCATGTCCGAGCGATGGGGGCGTCAAAATGCCCGCGCCATGGGCCCCTGAGCCACTGCTCGAAGTAAAGATGTCAGATTTCTCGGCAGTGTCGCTCGGTGCGGCGGGTTGCCCCGCAGTAGCAGGCTGCCCCGCTTGGCTGTTGGGTTGCGCCCGCTTGCTGCCCTCCTCGTAGATGGCCCGATAGACCGTCGCGGCGAAGTCCTGATCGGCAGGCACGGGCGTGCCACCCCAGCTGGGCACGCCCAAGGCGGCATGGGCGCGCGCGGAAGGGCGCGCAGTAGGAGCCGACCAGAATCGTTGACCAGGAAGGGTTGGGCCCCGTGAAGCACACTGATGCACTGCGCGGGGCGCCCGCGAGAGTCGTTGCGCGCGCCCGTCTGCGCGGCCTGGCCGGGGCGGGGTTGGCGCGAGCCCACTGCCCTGCGGTGTTCCACCGTCCTTGTCCAACGGGGGGCGCTGTCTTCACGGGGCCACTTGCCTTTGGCCTTGCCAGGGGTGCCCCCAAGTGTCCTGGGGCGTCATGCATGCGTGGGCGTCGTTAGGAGCGGGTGCCCCCGCGCTGCTAGAAGCAGGTTGCCCTGCAATCGGCTCCACATGTGCGGTCTACTTGATGAGCACGGGCGTCTCCTCGCACTGAGGGTTAGCCGCAATGGGAAAAGCTGTCGAACCATCGGCCTGCGTTGCTACCCCGTACTCGTCGACCTTGATCGCGAGGCGCCCTGATGGTCTTTTATCAGATCCAGCACCGTGGCGCCCTTACCAAGCAGGAGATGTCAACACCTGGGATGATCATATTTTCATGCCCCTGTTCGCAGATACGTCCCAGGATTGCGGGCAGATTCTCGCCAGACCCCTCTGCCACATTGGCCGAATGTCTAGCCTGGCAATAGCGGGTGCCCCCGCGGAGTCGCCCTTACATGTGCAAGCGGTTTTGCAGTGCATGGACGCGTCGCAAACGGCGGTTCCACTTCCCACTCCGGACACGCACAATCTCTTCTTCAGATAAAACTTCTTGATGCCGTGACCATGTGAGCGTGAAATCGCTCGAATGTATGCGCAGTTCTCTAACCAATGATGTTTACGTTGCTGCCGATGTCCAGCAGTACCGACAGCATTCCGTCAATCATGGTTCCACTGCTCGCTGCTAGGGCTAACTCATGTCGTTCAATGCCCGGCACAGCGGAGAGCGCTGCGCCGTGCATGCCCTCACGGCACCTCTGATCTGGCACCCACTGGTTCTTCGACATAAAGGTAAAGACGTTCATGTACCCCCTGGCCTCCTCCTCTGTAGTAGGTTGCAGTTGCAGCATCCATGCGGAGGGTACTCATCACACATAAAAGGGATGCTGCTGAGTAAGCGGCATGCTCTCCTAGGTGTCCTCGCCAGCACGCACGGCTATCTGACCATCTGTGTTAATCATCAGCACCGTGAGCAAAATGTCACGCTCAGATGTGGGACTGGAACCGCTGCGCGCACTCGTTGGGATCTCGGTTCTGCGCGAGCGCAGCAGGTTTCCCCGCGCCCTGTCATATGGCGCGCGAAACCTATGCGCGATTGCCTCCTCCTCCTCCTCCTCCTCCTCCTCCTCCTCCTCCCTCCTCCTCCTCCTCCTCCTCCCTCCTCCCCCCCCCCCTCCCCCTCCCCCTCCCCTTCCCCTCCTCCTCCTCCTCCTCCTCCTCTCCTCCCTCCTCCTCCTCCTCCTCCCTCCTCCTCCCCTCCTCCTCCTCCTCCTCTCTCCGCCTCCGCCTCCTCCTCCTCCTCCTCCTCTCCTCCTCCTCCTCCTCCTCCTCCTCCTCCTCCCACTCCTAACCCCTTCGATCAGGGTCGGCAGCACCGGCCGTCAGGCCTCTCCAATCATTAACCCGGGGTCCATATTCCGGGAACATTATGAATCCGGGTTTATTATCTTCTGGAGATAATGAACCGCGGTCAGAGTTTCGACATGAAAAACCTGGTGGGGAACCCGGGGGTTGGGGGGAAAATGAGAATTACTATCATTCCAGGATTACGGAAAGCGGGTTCATTATTCCCAGGACATTGTGAACCCCAGTCAATACTCCAGGAACATTATGAACCCAGGTTAATATCACTATGGGGTCATATCCCCTGAACATTATAAACCAGGGTTTATCATGTTCCGGCGGGAACATTATGAATCCCTGCCAATATTCCCAGAACATTTAAACCCAGGTTCATAATGTTCCAGGCGAGACATTATGAACCCATGTCAATAATCCCAGAACATTATAAACCCGAGTAAATATATTTTTGAGGTCCATCCTGGCCTTGTGAGTGGGGTAGGTGCGCAAGACCGCCGGCATTGCCGCTGGGCTATGTCCCTGAGGTTAAAAGCCTCCGACGAATTGAATGACAACAAATTGCTGTGTCCGAGAGCCGCATGCCTGGTGAGTGGGGTAAGTGTTTAAGACCGCGGACCGCCAGCATTGCCGCCGGGACATGTCCCGGAGGTTAAAGCGTCCGACGAATCGAATTGAAACAACAGATTTTGTCCAAGAGGAGCGTGCCTCGTGGGTAAGGTGAATGTGCGGGACCGCCGGCATTGCCGCCGGGCTGTGTCCCCGAGGCCAGAACCTCCGACATGTCGAAAGTGAGCGCGAACACTGGCGTTTCCGCCAGGCTGTGCTCAGAAGGCGCTTGCCACCTAGGTGGGATTAAGTGCGCAGGACCGCCGGCATTGCCGCCGAGCTGTGTCCCCGATAACCCGGTGCCCCTGATATTAAACCCCCTTGGGATAATGAAGACCTTTCCTAGGAATACGCCGCACCAGCGACACGCTTGGCACGCCGCCCTGGCGACACGCTTGGCAAAGCGCCGCCCCAGCGACACGCTTGAGCTCACACTCAGTGGTAAGGGGGGGGAATAAGCTTTGTTGTCCGCTGCCAGCAGAGTCAAGCATCAGGAAGGACGCGTGAGCAGAGAAAGGCGCGATTGGCAACTCTTCAAGGAATACGAAAAGAGAAGAGACGGAAAACGGAGCGCATCGGCCAAAAACACTCCCAGGGCATCCGAAATCCAAGCTGGTCCCAAGCTGGCCCCAACATGAACTACTAGACTGCTGCTAAGACCGCTCAAAGACCGCTCAAAGATCAACCCCACTGGCCAACGATGCTCCAACGCAACATCATAAACAACCTGCGACGACGTACGAGATAACTGCCAGAGTTCCGACTAGCCCAAACACTTGCACAACATATTTTCAATCGTCAACAACGTGATGCTTGACACTCTTGTAGCTGTCCGCGAATCTCGGCTTCGTTTGCTCCAGAGATGGCCACATCGCACCCTCTTCGGCTCGCTTCTGAACAACCTTTGGCACAACGTCAACGTCCTACGGGTTGTTCAGTTGGCTGGTCACGAGAACGAGATGACGACGGTCGCGTCAATGATCTGACGCTGGGAGCTAGAGGATAGCACTCGCATCACCTTTTGTCCTGCGAACCCGTGCTCCCCGGGCGGCAAAATGCGCCCCAGCGGCAGCTGCGCCGAGGGGCCTCACAGCAGGAGCCAGGTGGCCACCAGCGCGGCCGCCGTGCCGACGAGGCCGAAGCGCGAGCTCGCCCCGCTGAAGGTGCACTGGACCCTCTCGGCGATGATGGGGCTGGCCCGCGTGACCATGCTGTGGGCGGCCTCCTGCAGACCGCCGACCTCCAGGCGGGCCATGTTCAGGAAGGAGCCGACGAACGTGGTGATGTTCGGGGACACCTGGGCGACGAAACGACGACGACGACGACGACGACGACGACGACGACGACGACGACGACCAAGGACGACGGCGCCGACGGCGGCGGCGAGGTCACCGACGAGGACGGCACGGCACGACGGCCCAGAGCGACCTTACGCCGCGGCCTGCGTGGCCCGCCGGCGTGGCACACCGCGTGGAGGAGGGGGCGCTTGCGCGCGACCTGGCGCGCGAGGCTTACGGGCGAGTGCCCGCGCAATCGACCCCCGCTTTCTCCCGTCGCTCACTTGGAGAGTGCGCTCCATGTTGGGCAGGACCCGGGTGGAGACGTTCTCGATCACCTTGCCGATGGTCTCGAGCTTGGAGTCGTCCGCCACCGCGCCCCCATGGCACGTTGAGGCGTGGAAGGACGCCAGTGCCGTCGTGCAGGGCTTCTGTTTTCTGCTAAGGCAGGGCGGCGAGAGATCCATACGTATCCACCGCTCCTGGCCAGGCCCATCCTGGGCCCCAAAGCGGTGCACACGCTCCTGGATTGGCCAGGAGGGCACACACACAGCTCCTGGGACCGTGATGGGCCTGGCCAGGGACAGTGGATCTGTATAGTTCTCGTCGCCCGATGAAGAAGACACCCCTTCCAGGTCACGCTTCGCTGCATGCACCGCATCCCCCGCCCTTCCCTCGCACAAAACTGCGGGTGCGCGCGCCCGAGGCCACGACCCCAGGTGAAACAACAGCCTGGCGAAAGGCCCAACCCTGTGCGGCTGCGGGCAGCGCATGGTGTGCCCCTCTCCTCACAATCAGTGCGCCGCGAGAGGGGTAGCAGGGCTGAACCTAAACGGTGTGCTTCGTCTTTCGTTTTGTTCTCGTTTTCCCTCCTTCTGTCTTCACTCCGCCTCTGCCGCGAAACGGAGCCGAACCGAAAACGGCCCACGGAATCGCCAAAACACCGTTTAGGTTCCGCCCTGACGCATGGTATGCCCCTCTCCTCATACAGTCGGGGCGTTGACCTGAGGAACCCTAAATAAGGAACGAGGCCCCTTTCCTCCACAAGTCAAACTTCGATTTCCCGTCGAGAACATGAGGAAAACCTGAGGCAAGCTGTGAAACAATGAAGGAACACGGAGCCCCTCCCCAACGAAAAGGGTTCCTTCCTCAGCGACCCGACTGTGTGCAGTGCGCCTCGGGGATCTTCTGACCCGGGTCAATCCAGACCCGGGTCAGCAGGAAACCAAAAACTGCAATGCAGGAAAAAAAAGCTGCAACGCAGGTCCTCGCAAACCCGGGTCAGCCAACATGTGCGGCCGCCTGGCGGCCACGAGCGGCTCCCAAACCCGGGTCAGCCCGAGGGGGTCTTCGCAGGATCCTGCAGGATCTGGCGCCCTGGCTGACCCCCGTCTGCACTGACCCCCGTCTCGAGGCTCCCGATTTTGGGCGGGCGCGCGTTGGGAGGCCGAGAAGGCTGGCCGAGGAGGAGAAGGAGGAGGAGGAGGAGGAGGAGGAGGAGGAGGAGGAGGAGGAGGAGGAGGAGGAGGAGGAGGAGGAGGAGGAGGAGGAGGAGCAGTCCCCATCCTCAGCCCCCCCCCTCGGGCGGAGGCGCCGTGCGGACGGGCCCTGCCGCTGGGGCCCGCGGCGGAGCTCCCTCCGCGGGACCACCGCGGGCGGGAGCTCCCCGCGGGGGCCGCGCGCGGAGAAGGGTGCGCGCCGAAGGGGGGCGCGGGCACACCCGCGGGCTCTCCGCCGCGGGGGGCCGTCGGCGGGTGGAGCTCTCCCCGCGGGGGCCACGGCACGCGCGACGGGCCATCGCTCGGGCGTCCACTCCCTGTGCGTTTGTCAGTTTCGTGCGTGGCTTTTGTCGCCACATGATCAAGGATGCTCCTCGATGGTCCTCGCCGGAGGAACAAAAAAAAACGCACACGTCCGAGCGATGCCAGGGCGAGGGGTCTGGCGAAATGAGCGCGGGAGCTCGCGCGAGCTCTGCCGCGGGGACCTCTGGTGGGAGCCCCTTTATGGGGCCACGAGACGTGTGAGGTGGTAGGAGCTCCTTCTGGGCCGCACAGCGGGCGAGGGGCGTGCCAGTCAGAGCAGGAGGAGGAGGAGGGGCAGCGGGAGGTGTGGACGCGGGGCGCTACTGCGAAGACCCACTAACACAGCATGATTGGGAAGCACGGATCCACGCTCCCGAGGCCAAGATCGCTCATCAAAACCTATGGATCCGCGCTCCCGAAGCCAAGCTCCCTCGTAGCACATCCATGGGTCGAGGCTCTCAAAGCCACGATCGCTTGTAATCAACTATGGTCTATGGTTCTGCGCTCCAGAAGTCACGATCGCGAACAACAAACGACGGATCCGCGCTCCCAAGCTTCGAATACGGCCGAGGCAAACAACCAAGGCTGCCAATATGGCATTTAGATGACTCGAAGATGGCCCTCTGTGGTCTCCAGGTGGCCCAAGAGGCCCCCGAGACTGTCCAAGAGGGCGTCGAGAGGACCCCAAGCAGGACCCGAAGAGGCCAGACACACAAATTGCCCGCGAGGTGTTCGACTATGCTGGTGTTGTTGTTGTTGCTGCTGCTGCTGTTGTTGTTGGTGTTGTTGTTGTTGCTGTTGCTGTTGCTGCTGTTGTTGTTGTTGGTGTTGTTGTTGTTGAACATTATTACTTCTAAAGAATAATTATTGTTGGGACCCCTGGTGCACGACCCCCCCGCCGCGCCTAGGCCGCAGCCTCATTTTCATCATTTTCTTGAGGAAGTCTCAGGCAAAACGGGTTGGTCCGGATCCGGTTGTGTTGTTACGATCGGTTTTCCCTTGCAAAAAATAAGCTAAAGTGGACATTTCTTGTTCTAACATAACCAAACTTCAAGAATCCCTTGCAAAAAAATAAGGTAAAGTGGACATTCGCGCGCGCAAGACGAAATCCTTCCAAAACCTTAGTTTTCGTAGCGATTTTAACATAAAAACATCAAAAAAACAATGGTTTTTCAAAAAAATGTCAAAATTTCATCCCGCGCGCTCTTGCGGATTCGTAGGAAACCCAACACTTTTTAATCATTTCTGTCAAACGGGCTTTTGCGAGCAACTTTTTCGAACTTCTGCAACAACGGTTGCGCACCTGCCAGGGCCATCATCCCTGTCAAATAATACCATGCGGGACACATTCGTTTTTTCTTCGCGCGCGCACGCCGTCGTCGTCGGCCGCGGGGCCCTGAATAGTAGCCACGGTCGTCCGCATGCCACGAAGTGAAGTGTCCGAACGTCATAGGGCGGGAAGCTGGGTGTGGGTGGTGGCGAAGAGTCGTTTGGAAATTTGGTAGAGCTTGAACCGGCCCCCCCACAAAGTGGGGGTATTGCCCGCCTCCTATGAAAACCCTGGCACTGGTGAGAACGGTGTGTCCCCACGTGCTAGTAATTGTTGTTGTTGTTGTTGTTAATGTTGTTATTGTGTTTGCTGTTGTTGTTGTTGTTGGTGTTGGTGGTGTTAGCGTTGTTGATGTTGTTAATACTACTATTATTATTCGTAGTCTTAGTATTAATACTGCTATCATTAATAATGTTATTATTATTGTTGTTGTTGCTGTTGTTCTCACCTCTGTGGGCTCCCGTTCGCTCCAGGCGGCCCACATTGGCTCCCAAAGTGAACCCCGAAGCCCAGGAGCGGCCTACGACTGCCCTTGGAGCCCCCAACAGGCCCCAGGACGCCCCCAGGACGCTTCAAAAAGTCCCCACTATACCCCCCCATCAGGCTTCCAATAGGCCCCAAGCAGGCCCCAAGCGGCAATCAAGAAACTGTGGCACGAAGCTTGGGGGAGCCGTAGCATATGACACGCTCTTCCGCGTCGTGTCGGGGTTTCTCTTCTCGTCTTCGCCGTCTTCGTCCAATTCTCCCGCCCCTCTCCCTTACTCCCCCTCCTCCCTCTCCTCTGTACTTTTCCTTCTCCCGTGGCCGCTTGAGGTTTTCTGTGCGCCCCCCGAACAGTCGCGACCCAAGGTGATGGGCTTGCCCGGCACGGCGGCGGGACTTGCCGCAGGCAACTGGATAGTCGCTGACGTTGGCCATGATCTGCGTGATCTGGTCGCACGCTTCCTTCAGGGCCGCCCCGTCTAAAGTGCGAGGAGTCATCAAACTCCCCCCCCTCCATCCACCTCCCCCCCCCTTTCCCCATTCCCCTGCCCTGCCCCCCGTCCCCTCCACTCATCCTCCCGCCCCCATTCCCAGTCGACTGCTCGGTCTTCAAAGCTGTCTAGCCAAATCTCCCAACTGATAGTGGTCCGAGAGGTGCTCGAACGGCAGAATCAAGAATGATGTGTTAGATTGATTTCTTCGTCCGGCTGGGGCGCGCCCGAGGTGCACACCCGATCGGTGGAAATTATTGGGCCCGCGCGGCCACAGCAAGGACTGGGGAGGGGAGCTGGAGGGGAAAGGAACGCAACGGGTGACAAGAGCCCCTCGCCACGGCATCGTGGCGACATCCCCCGACTTCCTGCACGCGCCGATGCCGCAGGCTGAAGCCGGTCAACGGCAAAGAGGGTCGGAAATGCAAAACGCAACAGCCTCCTACATTTCGGACATGGGCCAGAAGAACATCCCTCAGAACATGAGACCCTCCGTTGGCCAAAACAAACATAAAATTCAAGTGTACCCTCCCCTGGATACAGTAGAACACTCAACAGACGCGAAGAACACTAGGGTACCCTCCCCGAACCGACCTCGATCTTATACCTCGGTCCGACTGTACCAGTCCTCCTCCTCCTCCTCCTCCTCCTCCTCCACCGCTCTTCCCTACAAAAGCTCTCCCCCCCCTCAGTCGCACCACCAGACGTGTCCGTAAACCCGGCCGGGCGTCTCGCCTGAGGCTGCTTGACTGTTCTGCCGACCTGGAGCGAACAAGAAGTCCAATCTTCACAAGGTTGGAGATACAATCGCTTTCAAAATGCGGTGCTCGCCTTGAGCGCCGCGCGCCTTCGTAGAACAACGTCGGGAGCCTACAAGGACGGACGGCGGATGGCTGTCAAAACGTGGCTCTCGCCTTCGCGCCGCGCCCATCCGTTTTGAAGTTTCCAACAGCTACATGGACGGAGGGTGACGCGTCTTCAACAAGTGGCTCTCGTTTGAATTTCTTCGAACTGTTCTACCCGACAATTCAAAACAGTGCAGCAGTCAGATGGATGGATGGAGGGCGGCCGCCTCTCAGAATGGCACTCCCGCTCGAGTCTTGCCCAGATGCTGCAGCGGGGACTTTCTGAAGTTAGGCAACACGTACACGGATGGAGGGCAGATCATGTTCGGAACGGGGCACTACCATCCTTGATCCATGTTATTGGAGGCCCAGAAATGGGCACCAACACCAACACAGGGGGGTGCCACCACATGGGGAAGATGATCCTAGATTTCGGTGTTGGTGGCAATATTTCGGTCACCTTGGAAGCCAGAATACTACCACCATCACCGAGATCGGGATCTTCTTCGCTCGGTGGAGGTACACCACCGATATTGGTGTTGGTGTCAACCTCTAGGCCTGCGATATTATACTACGTTTTCGACTTCCCTTTCTCTTACCAGATGGGTCGAGGGCGTATCCACTACGAGCAAGGGTCCTCGCCCGACTGGCAGGCGCGGGGCCCTTCCCGCAGCGCACAGGAGTGCTCGAAGGGACCTGCGGAGTTTAGCTTGGCGACGCACACAGTGAAAAAATCCTCCTCCTCCTCCTCCTCCTCCTCCTCCTCCTCCTCCTCCTCCTCCTCCTCCTCTTCCTATCCCCCTTCCGGCAAGCAGTGGGCATGCATCGTCGGCCGCCCCGTTCCTTCGGAGTCGCAGTCGCGAGGCTGGTGGCGTTGATCCTGAGGCGGACCGTGTTGGCGTTCAGCTGCCCCAGGAAGGGGAAGAGCGCGCGCTCGAGGTCCTCCGGAACGGTACGCCTGAGCATCTGGATGGCCTTGAGGCTGTCCTGTGAGCAGGGACAGACCGTCCCGGCATTCCTAGAGGCCTACCACGCGATGTTATCTACAAATGTTCGAAGGACAAAAACAATGTTCTTAGAACATAAACCCGATGTGCTGCAAAAGACAGTCCCGGCCAGACATGTTCTGAGAACATTTCGTGGAAACCACAAAGAGTTCTTAGAACAATGTTTGGTAGGCCTAAGGCGAGCCAGGACGCTTCGCCGCTGCTTGAGTCCTGGTGCAGGCCGCGGAGACGGAAGCCCGACTCGTGGAAGAACTTGGCCATGATGAAGCGCAACTCCACGTCGGAGGCGGAGGTGCTGTCCTTGACGAACTGGGTGGTCTTCTGCTGGGTCTGGTCCAAGAACTTCCTGACGTTCACGTCCACCCTCTTCGTCACGTTGCGGAAGTCCTCCACGAACTCCTCGTCCTGCAGCGCCTCCGGCAGGGCCAGGACGACGTCCACGAGGTAGCTCATGTTGACCCCCGCGAGGCCGCCCAGAGAGTCCTCCAGCAGCTGCTCGGCGCGCGCCGTCATGTCCGTCTTGGCCTGGCGGCGGTTCTCCTTGATGGCGCGGCGCTCCTCGGCGAAAGGCCACGTGGGTCCCAGTGCTCCCTCTGCTCCTCGTCCTCCTCCTCCTCCTCCTCCTCCTCCGCCCTCCTCGCGAGACGGGGAGAGAGGTGGGGGAGGACGGAGGATGCACCTCCTCCCCTGCTGGGGGAACACACTGGCACCGACACCGTGACTCCCTCGGCCTCTCTCGGGCTGCGCTCTGACCAGATATGTCGAGGAGAAGCCAGCCGTGGCGCTCCCCAGCGCTTGAAAAAAAACAAGCGAAAACCCACTTCCTGGGACTCCTGTGCGCAAAAAACACTACTCGGGGGGGAGGGGGGGACGAACATCTTCCAAACGTCATCAGGGGGAGAGGAGAGCAGTATTCAGATTGCATAGTTGTGCAACTGTGGAGGAGGAGGAGGAGGAGGAGGAGGAGGAGGAGGAGGAGGAGGAGGAGGAGGAGGAGGAGGAGGGGGACGGGAAGAAGGGGGAGCACCAGCCCTCTGCCCTCTGCACGTCCTCAGCCTCCGCCATGCGCTCGCCCATCAGGATCTTCCGGCGCTTCTCGGTGGCCAGCCTGAGCTTCTTCATCGCGAGGTTGGCGGCGAGCTTGGCCACGTCCAGCTCCTGAGGGCGGCTGGGACCGCAGGAGAAGCGAGTGGGCCTCGCCCCCATCACGCCAGGGAGGAGGGATAATGGAGATGAGGAGGAGGAGGAGGAGGAGGAGGAGGAGGAGGAGGGGCAGGAAGAGGAGGAGGGGAAGGAGGAGGAGGAGGAAGAGGAGGGGTAGGAGGAGAAGGAGGAGGGGCAGGAGGAGGGGCAGGAGGAGGAGGAGGAGGAGGACGAGGGGCAGGGAGGGGCAGGAGGAGGAGGAGGAGGAGGAGGAGGAGGGAGGAGGAGGAGGAGGAGGAGGAGGGACAGAAGGAGGGGCAGGAGGAGGGGCAGGAGGACTAGGAGGAGGAGGAGGAGGAGGAGGAAGAGAGGAAGGGGGGGCCTCCCCCTCCTCGCCCTCTGCTGCTGCCGTCCGCCCATCGGCGGCGATCAGGCCCTCTGTTCCCCGCCCTGCGGCCGCGAGCGGGCGGCACCGCCGCGTGAGGAGGAGGGCAGCTCGCCGTCGCTCCTCCGCCCATGAGCTGCCCGCGAGCGCGGACGGCGACTGAGCGAGAAAGGGAGCTCGTCGCGTGCCTCCGTCGCCGTCGCTGTCCGCCGTCTGCGGGCCGGCGGTGCCGAGCCGAAGCTCTGAGCCGGTGCCCGGAGATGGGCTTGCCCCGAGCATCGCAGCGTTGTCGATGACGTCGCTCGTGGGGGGTGGACAGGACGAGGAGGAGGAGGAGGAGGAGGAGGAGGAGGAGGCGGAGGAGGAGGAGGAGGAGGTGGAGGATGAGGAGGACGAGTCTGAGGAGGCGGAGGAAGAGGAAGAGGATTTTTGTTTGGCTCCACGCCCTCCTCTAAGACCATAAAGGATCTGACACCTGCAGCAACGAGGCGGTGCAACAGGCCTGCAAAACAAATTAGGCATAGGTGTTGAAGCACTGCATAAAATTGCCTACATCAACAGTCACACCCGCTTTCTGCTGCCTGTAATGCGGGTGTTTGCCTTTGCACAGGGCTTGCCAGCCGTATTTCGCAGCGCGCGAAGGAGGCGGCTGGCACTTGGCGGCTAAACCACGGACAGAAGCTCCACTGGAATGCGCCTTGCACCTAGTGCAGATAAACAAAACCGAGCCATCCGAGCAGTCGAACGCAATCGTACGATGCTCGAGGGCGTCCTGACTGGACGCGTGAAGCCGAGACACCTGGGAGCAGACACCAGGCGAGGGCCTACTCTGAGATCGCTTGCCTCTGAAGCAAACAGCACAGCGCCACACTCCAGACCACATTTCCCAGCGGTGCCCTGCGGAAACTCCAGCAGTGGCAGGCGGGGCTAAAACTCGTCCTGCCTCGGAGAGGTCCAAGGAAGGCCACGCATGCAATACATGGGCTGCCAGCCTGATCGTCTGGCGAGCCTGCGAGACAAGCTTGTCCGCCGCCGCTAGCTTGTCTGGACAAGAAGGATGAAGACGCGCTGCGTGCTTGGCAGCTGCGTCCGCGTGATGATTGCCGAGGCGCCTCCAGCGCTCAGCTGCGTCGATCCCCACCTCGTCCAGCTCCTTATGAGCTGCGACTTTGGTGCACGTTGATGGCGATGCACCTTGAGCGTAGAGCTGGAGGAAGGCCCCAGAGTAGGCCCTCTTCCCACTCAGCTGCTCGGCCTTAGGCCGACAGGCAAGATTGACCACATTGCTGCAGTCGGAGAACACAACGATGCTGGCCGACGCGAGCACATTGGCCCAAGTCCAGCAGCTGAACTCAGCCGACTGTGGCGTCTGGGGATAAGGGGCCCACACAGGGGCCCGAAATTCTGCGACGGCCGACCCTTGGTCGTCGACCATCACCGCACTACAGCCAGCTCTGGAGAGCTCCCGAACAGTGTGGCGGCTGCTAGAGCCGTCAATGAACACATTACCCCAAAGTTCAGTGCCAGGCTTAGCCCCAGAGGGCGACGAAATATCATGGTGGTGCCACACAAGAAACGGGCCATTGTCCGTCTCAGAGAGGGGCCTGGGGTACCCGTCGGCGGGGTGGCGGAAAGCCCCAGAAATGAAAACGAACACTGCTTCCTCGTCGCCCTTAGCAGCTAGGGCTTCGGCTACAGTGCTATCATCAACTAGTGAGGATCTAAGCTCAGCCACTGGCTCGTGGGGGCACTCCCACAACCTGTGGAAGATCGTGTCCGTGGCGCCGCAGAACGGGCAATTGCCGTCCACGACGTAGCCTAAGTTCACAGCACGATCTCCAGTGAAAAAGGCCTCGGTGGCGAACGCTCTGGCATGGGCCTTCTGAAGGGCCGTGTATTTCTTGGAGGCCAAGGCCTCGCGCAGCACATCATAGCATATCCTGGGGAGCACTCCCCTCTTCTCAGCAGAGAGCCTCTCCAACATCCTAAAATACCCATCCTTGAGCAAGATCCTAAATAAAGCAGGCGAGATAATGCCGAGGGGAATCGAAAAGCCACGGTCATCTCGCACCGTCATGAAGTTGTCCATGGACCAGCCCAGCCTGACCAGGGACATCCGAAGGGCCGACACGGGGCCCGAGACCACCCTCCAGGAGCAAACAGGGTTGGAAAAAACCGCTTCCCACGCACGACGCAACGAGGAAAAGTCCAACCCCCAAGAGTAAGCCCCAGTCTGAGCCAGCCAAATCTCCTTGGACCAACGGAGAATGGGGGCGGTGGCAGTGCGCCAGCACGGATCATAATCGAGCAAAGCCGCCGTCGTCAAAGATCTCAGCTGAGATCTGGGGCGGACCACAGAAAACACTTGACGACGAAGCCGAAGCAACTCGAGGTCACTAGTGCCAGTAATTTCGGAGCCATAAGACGCCCCCGCAAGAGGCCCCGAAGAGAACACCCTAAGAACCTGCGGCCTAGAGATGACTTTGATCTGACGCTTTAATCTCTTGGCCGCCCTCGCAGCCTTGGCGATGCGCATTAGACTTCACCGAGCGCCCTGCCACCCTAAGCGCGCGGCCGGCCGTGTAGTCAACGCCTAAGTTGACAGCACTAGACGTAACATTGCCTCCTAGATGCGAAATTTCGACAGAAACCTCCTCCCCCAGGGCCTTCGAAGAAGCAACCACAGCAGTCTTGTCCAGGGCCAGGGAACAACCGAAACAAGCCTCAACAATATCATGGAGCGCCTTAGCCCCTGCGACGATCGATTCGACCACGGTCCGATGTTGGCCCGTACACGAGAGCCCCTGGTCGTCGATATACACGTCGAGGTCGAGCCTGGGGATGGCAGGGAGAGAGTCGTACCCGTCCTGGCAAAAACCCGAATGAACGTGGTGGCCATCGAGCAGCCTGCGATGCCCCCATTCTGGCAGAAGTAGGGGCCTTCCAGCCACCCTCCTAGGCAGAGAAAGCGCCCACACCTGTAGGCATAAATGCAAAGACGGGCAATCGCAAGAGGGAATCCATGTTTCTTGCAGCGGACCTCCAGCTCTTTCAGACTAATGTTCTCATAGAACTTGCGAAGATCGAACAGAACCGAACATGAGGACTCCCCGATGGCAAGACCCGTCTCGGCGGTGACCGCTTGACGCCAAACCACATCGGCGGCTCCTCGAAATCTACCAGCAGCCCAGTACCGTTCGGGGTGTTCTTGCTCCCAGTTCAAGGCAAAGGGCCGCCGACAGCGGCCCCAAACCCTGAACCAGGAGCAGAACACCCCAATCGGTCTGTAGCCACCAGTGGGCTTCGGCAGAAGCGCCAACGTGACAACAGAGATCTGCGGAGGAAGGCAGCCTAGCGCTTCCATGATCGAAAAAATGGCGCTGAGGCAATCGAGCGCAGCATCTGGCAACAACGAAGAATGCTTGCAGTGAAATCCGTCCACAGCCACAGCCGAAGAATCTTTGTAGGACTTAGAGATATCACGGATTTCGCTGGCCGTGGGTCGAGGAAGAGGCTCGAGGACCTGACCGTCAAATTCGGCCCCCCGACCCTCACCCCATATGCTGCTGAACCTCTCTCCCTCCGCCTTGAGCAGGGAGAGAGGATCGCTGACAACGCAACCTGAAGCAGCGAGAGTCGAAGAAGGGACCCATGGAACCGGATCTTTAATGCACTGATGAACCCGTTTTGCCCCCTTATTGATGCCAACGTGCAGCCATGCTGCCCAGTCAGCTCGGCTCTTGGCGGCGTGCTTGGCGCTGGCGGCCTTGACGGCCTCGTGAACCTGAGTGTGCAAATCAGCGAGAGACTCAACATCCCCACCAGAGCCAAAGGCGGAGACCTCCTGAGCCGCACGCTTGAACAGCGGCTCGTAGTCATCCACGGCGGCCGAGATGCTGGGCGGGGGCTCCACCAACACGCAACTGAGCCTGGCAGCAGTGGCAGCAGCGCCTCCGCGCCGAGCGTGCATGAAGGCGCGAAGCTGTTGCCTGAGCCAACGGATCGCGCGATGACCAGGATAACGCACCTTCCCGTCCTGGCCCAGGATAGACTTCCACACAAGTTGAGGACCCAAACCCCTGGAATCTAACTTGGGGGGGGCAACGCCCACCAAAGGAATGAGGTCACGCTCCGCGTGGTCAGCCCACTTCCTGTAGAGCGGACCCAAAAGACGTTTGGCCCCCCGACCGTCACCATTCTGGAGACAACGTTCAGCCTCTGACGCCAGCGCAAGTTCCCCAGCCCAACAACTTCCCCTGGGGGCAGGGCCGAAAACCACTTGGCAAGGCAAGGGGGGAGGCTTCCTGAAAGAGAGAGCGCGAAGCACCGCCAGCTTGGGATGGAAAACCAACTGGACGGGCCTATGGGGGGAGAGCTCCGTATCCAATCTCGTATCGACCGACTTGAGACCCTTAGCAAGACCGCCCGAACAAACGAAGAAGTCGAAAGTCGTGGGAGGGCCCGCAGGATAGTGCGTCGCAACAAGGGGGAAGATGAGGGAAGCCCTCAACTCAGACACAAAACTTGAAGACTCGAGCTCAGCAGGCTCCAAGTTAAAATCGGCACCGACCACCCACGGCTGGCCAACGGTCGACAGTTGCTCGCCTAGCCTCGCAAGCAACGCAAGATTACCATCGCTGAGGCCTTCTGAGTGGTGAAGGTAGGCAGGGGCAACCAGGATGGGGGGGTCCCAGGGAGGTGCGCGGAGCACGCGATGCATCGTCCAGGCGTCGTGAGGCACCCTCGACCTCCAGAAGCCCCAGCCAAGAGCGCACGAAAATGGCAACACCCCCACTCGTGTCCTGCGCTTGGGTGGGGATAGCAGGGGCCCAAACCGACTTCCATCCATGCCTTATGCACCAAGCACTGGCCTGCTCGATGTCCTCCTTGGGAATCAGACGGTGCTCCTGACCGAGCACAATGAGGGCAGAACAATCTTCGAGCAGACCCTTCAACGTACCCCACGAGTTGGCATTAATGGTCTGAATCGTGAGTGGCACCAGACTGTCAGAGTTAGAAACCGATGGCTGCTCGCTGCCGACGAGAGGAGCAGGCACAGGCAATCTGACATTACTGACAGAGTGCGCTGGCGACTTGAAATCATCAGAGGGGTGCAGCACCCTCTGAGAACCCAAGGGTTCGAATTTGCCCTTGGAATGTCCTGACTTAAAATCTCCGAGAGCGACGAGCTCAACGTGGGGACGACATCCCCCCTCCATGGGTGGGCAAACAGGAGTGGCCACGTGCGGGACAGCCCCGTCAGTGGCATCCTTGCGCGCTGGCCTACCAAGGGAGTGAACAGGATACAAAACCCTCGGCACCGCGAAATCAAGCAAAAACACATGGGCACAGTCTGGCGTCATATCAGCCTTGCGACGAAGCGAATCCCTCTTGCGGAGGAGGGCAGCTTGCGCTGCTGAGCGGAAATCAGCGTGCCGAAATACTAAACGAGCTTCACCCCCCCCCTGGAGGCAGCCTTCCGAGCGAAGGACCTGCGGACCCCGATCAACCGACGACTCGAGGAGGCGACGAGTATCAGGGCTGGCCTCCAGGGGGTAGCTAATCATTGACTGTGTGAGTGGCCGCGGCAATGCGGTCAGCGCGCTCACGAGCAGTGCCTGTCGTAGCAGGCGTGGTCGGAGCTGCTGCCGCAGGAGGAGGAGGAGGAGGAGGAGGAGGAGGAGGATGAGGAGGAGGAGATGAAGGGGAGGAGGACAGGAGGAGGATGAGGTGGAGACTGTAGAGAGGACGAGGGGAGCTCGTCGCTTCCGTCCGTCGCCGTCGCCGCTCGCCGCCCGAGCATTGCGGCGTTGTCGATGACATCGTTCGACGGGGGTGGACAAGACAATGAAGAGAACGCGGAACAGGAGGAGAAGGGGGAGTAGGAGTAGGAGCAGGAGTAGGAGTCAAGCTAGCCAGCTCGAGCGAGTCAAGCATGGCATGCCCAGTCCCACCCGCCCTCCCACAACATAAGAAGCAAAGCTGGCACAACTGGGGGCCGAAGTCACACCGGCCAGCCGGTTTGGTACAGCTGATGCGGCCGCGATGGCGGTTGCCGACGGGAACTGGCGAGCGCGTGTTGAATGCCGCGCACGCATTGCCAGACGAGTCGAGAATGGCCCGGTACACCGCAGGAAGCCAGAGGTGGCCGGAGGAAGCCCGACGGTCTGACAGGACACCCCAAGGGGGCCCAGGAGGCCCCAAGAGGCAGGAGTAGTAGTACCAGTGGTAGTGGTGTTGGTAGTGGTAGTGGTAGTGGTAGTGGTAGTGGTAGTGGTAGTGGTAGTGGTAGTAGTAGTAGTAGTAGTAGTAGTAGTAGTAGTAGTAGTAGTAGTAGTAGTAGTAGTAGTAGTAGTAGTAGTAGTAGTAGTAGTAGTAGTAGTAGTAGTAGTAGTAGTAGTAGTAGTAGTAGTAGTAGTAGTAGTAGTAGTAGTAGTAGTAGTAGTAGTAGTAGTAGTAGTAGTAGTAGTAGTAGTAGTAGTAGTAGTAGTAGTAGTAGTAGTAGTAGTAGTAGTAGTAGTAGTAGTAGTAGTAGTAGTAGTAGTAGTAGTAGTAGTAGTAGTAGTAGTAGTAGTAGTAGTAGTAGTAGTAGTAGTAGTAGTAGTAGTAGTAGTAGTAGTAGTAGTAGTAGTAGTAGTAGTAGTAGTAGTAGTAGTAGTAGTAGTAGTAGTAGTAGTAGTAGTAGTAGTAGTAGTAGTAGTAGTAGTAGTAGTAGTAGTAGTAGTAGTAGTAGTAGTAGTAGTAGTAGTAGTAGTAGTAGTAGTAGTAGTAGTAGTAGTAGTAGTAGTAGTAGTAGTAGTAGTAGTAGTAGTAGTAGTAGTAGTAGTAGTAGTAGTAGTAGTAGTAGTAGTAGTAGTAGTAGTAGTAGTAGTAGTAGTAGTAGTAGTAGTAGTAGTAGTAGTAGTAGTAGTAACAAAAACTGTGTATTGTCTTTTGCATATTAGAATGGGACGGATTGGATGGGCGGGCGCGGGGTGTGCGCCGCGTCCCACTCCTGCCATGCATTTTGAGACGTGGACGACAGGACGTCCATGCGACGGTGCCAATGACGGCGACGACTCTAGAAGGATTTGAGCATGCGCTCGCGGCGACGCGCGCGCATGTCGCCCGCGTGGTATTTTTTTGCACAGGATTCGCGGCCTGGGTGCATGACAGAGCATCGCGAGTGCACCGCGCGATGACGTGAAATCGCTGGATTTGACCGAATTCTTAAGATTCCTATGGTTTTCCTATGATTTCGGCAAGAGAGCCCGGGCAGGAAATTTGTAGAATTTTTGTGAAAAAGCATTGGGTTTTTGATGTTTTTATGTTGAAATGCTTGCAAACACACGGTGTTCGGTAGGATTCTGACATGAACGCGCGCGTGTGCTCTTTGTGGTATTTTTTGCAATGGATTATCGCCGTGGACGACAGGACGTCCATGTCGAGAGGAAAAAATAAGAAAAATGTTGATTTTGTATTGTTTTTTACAGGTTAGGATGGGACCACCCGGATGCGGCCCCTATCTGCCGGCCTGAGGGGGGAGTAGGAGTATATTCTAATAAGGAATAAGGATAGGAGTAGGAGGAGGAGGAGGAGGAGGAGGAGGAGGAGGAGGAGGAGGAGGGAGGGGGAAGGATGAGAGGGAGAGGAGGAGGAGGAGGAGGAGGAGGAGGAGGAGGAGGAGGAGGAGGAGGAGGAGCAGGAGGAGGAGGAGGAGGACGAGGAGGAGGAGGAGCAGGAGGGGGAGCAGGAGGAGGGACGCCCCCCTCCCTTCCACTCCCTCCCCACAGGGGGGGGGGGCCCAGCAGCACCATCCCTGCGGGTCGGGCCGCCCGGGGCGCCTTCTTGGACACCATGAAGTCCTTCATCGTCTCCTTCCGAGAGATCTCTCGTGGCCCCCCCGCTCGGGCCCTCCCGGGCACGCTGCACACCCGGCGAGGGGCCCGCGAATCGCCGAGCAGCGCGGCATGCCCAGGCGGGCCCATCCGAGGAGGCCAAGGATATCCACCCGCATCGTCCCCCAAGCAGGGCTTGCGGAAGTTGGAAGATTTGGCGAAAATTTCCCGCCGATTTTGGTAGCAGGCTGGGTTCCCGGGTTCCCGGTTCCGGGTTCCGGGGTTCCCGGTTATTGGTTCTGGGCAAATGTCGGTGCACAGGGCTCTGGGTTCTCGGGCTCCCGGGTTCCCGGTCTATCTCCTCAGCGAAAACCATCCACTGATTGGGTTTTCCTCTATGGTGTAATCTCCTTCAGGTGCGCCTGCTTCTCCCGGAAGATCGCCATCAGCTTGGGATCGAAGTACGTCGAGAGGTTGGCCCTGGTGGCGTTGCTGTCCTCAGGGCGGGAGGGGGGGGGGGGGGCACGGGGAGGGAGGCGCACGCCGTGGGGGGCTGGGATCGAAGTGGCGAAGCAGCGGAAGGGGGAGAGGTGCGCGCTGGGAGGGAGGGGGAGAGGCGACGGGGGGAAAGGGGGTCGGATGTCGAGGGGTGGAGGGAGAGGAGCGGGAGAAAGGGACAGGGGGGGGGGAGCAGGAGGAGGGGGAGAAGGAGGGAAGGACAGTGGGGCAGGCAGAGCGGGTGAGGAGTGCGGGGAAGGTGGCCGGGCTGCCGAGGGAGAGAGAGAGGAGAAAAAAAGATGAGGGGTGAAGGGGGCAGACTGGCGGAGTTCAAGCTGTGAACGGAATGTGCATCATATGGCCTGCGCCGTGCGACTCGTAATTATAGGGGGCCACATGCGAACCCTGCCCCTGCCCCCCAAGATTTCCGAGGGGGAGGGTGGGGGGTTCACTTCGTTCGGGAGCTCCCGAGCGAAGTGACTCCCACCCTCCCCCTCCGAAATCGTGGGGGGGGGGCAGGGGCAGGGCTCGCACGTGGCCCCCTGCTAACTGCCGTCCCTCGGAGCTCCGAACCTCTGCCCATCCGAGAGAATCGGGCGGTGGCGGGAGCGGATGCGGTCAGCGATCGGGGTTCCCCGGGGGGCGGGGGCGGACCGCCGCCCTCCCCCACAGCGTGTAGGGCGGGTGCCTCGAGGCCGATCGGGGCCGACGTGGTTTCGCGGGCGGAAGGTCACATCCGCAGCTGTTGTCATAGGGGAACAAAAGTAGCTAACACAAACATAAAAACTCGGAGCTCCGCGCGGATTTCTCGGATCGGCGCTGGACCCCCCTCCCTGGCGCGCGGAGCGCGCCAGGGGCGGCGCACGAGGCGCCGCCAAGGGCCCCAGCGCCGATCCGAGAAATCCGCGCGGACCTCCGAGTTTTTATGTTTATGTCATGTTCCCCTATGTCAATCGTAGGATGGGCAAGGGTCGCCTGCGTGCGGCATGCTAGTGCTGGCACACGCGGACTATAGGTATCAGCCACCCTGTGCTGCTGAAGGTGCTGCTGCAGCTGGCGGAGGTAGTCCCAAGGCCCCGCTGCCTACGAGGACGGTGGCTCGCTTATTCCGTGTCCAACTTACCCCACACATCGGTTCTGAATGAAGTGGTGAGAATACGCGAAGCGTCAATGATATGTAGACTGTGAGCGTGGGAAAGTCATGGCGTGTCAATCAATCGACCTCGAATCCATCGGATTGCACGCGGCCGCGGGACGCCATGCATGCAATTACCCTTGGTGGTAGCGTTTTGTTTCTCCCTCCTCCCCTTCCTCCTGCTCTTCCTCCTCTTCCTCCTCCTTTTCCTTTTTCTCCTCCTCCTTCTCCTTCTCTTCCTCGTCATCGTCATCGTCATCATCATCGTCGTCATGACCACCGTCGTCGTAATCCTCAAAATCCTCACCATCATCATCACCACCATTGTCAGCGCCGTCGTCGTCATCACATTCATCGTCCGCATCCTCATCCTTACCCTCACCCTCTTCCTCCTGGCAAAACCCTTTTTGGGGCAAAACACCACCTTCGCCTTTTGGTAAAAACTGCCAGGGCACTCCACGGGTGCGCGCGGCAATGTGTTCCGAATGCGCCCATGCGGAATAGCAACTCGACGTCCAAAAACTACCGAATATATCCCGCAAACCACGCGTCGATTACTGAAACCGACAGGGGACTGCATCGGGGCACCGCGAATGCGAATGTCGAGTAAACCGGCGCAGGACTCTTCAATCGACGGGTCCAGGCGGGCGCCCTATTGACGCCCAGCCATCACCTTCGTTATTCTCACCATCATTATCACCACCCCCATCATCCTCCTCACTCTCATCCTCAATCCCTCCTCCCCCCTCTTCCCTCCCTCTTCCTCCGCCCCCCATCCCTCCTCCTCCGCCCCCATCCCTCTTCTGTCCTGCTTCCTGCCCCCTCCTCCTGCCCGCAGGCAAATTACCCGGTAACGCACCCAAGCCTGATATAAACAGATGGCGAAAGTATGCACACATATATATATATATAGAGAGAGAGAGAGAGACAGACATATAGGGCCGCTCACTGCCAACAAACATGTTGAAGGACCCGCAGTGCGCATGAACGCCCAGACGTACGCAAAAAAAACATGCAGGAGTAGCCCAGATAGAAACGGAGACACAAGCATACAGAGGGGTGCGAAGGAGGGACTTACATATTCAGTGCAATAGGGGCTCGACCACAAGAAGCCTTCCACAATAAACCCAACCCTGGAACCCCAGGGCGTACATTGATTTTTTGTATGGGGACGTCACGTACTCCATTGCAAAACCATCGGAACCCAAGAAACCCAGGGCACCCTGGAGGCAAGCAGGGTGTTTCTCGGCATGGGCCTCCACTGTAACAGCAACAGCGCCGAGCGCTGCTACGTACGTGGGAAAGAACAACGCCATGCGTTCGCTCTATAGCAGACCAGCGCGTCGCGCTGAGTGAGGCAAGCACGCGGGGTGGCATGGCGGGCCACAGGCAGCTGAACATGGGAGGCCACGCGGACAAAAAAAGCAGTGCCATTCGCTGCGTGGCGCAGCGGCTCCCTGCGAGCTGCGATGCGACAACCCGAGCGCTGCGTGACGGGACAGCGCCGCGAGGTCCCAACTGGATCCCCGTACAACTCCATCCCGCTGGACCTCCCAGGAGCGACAATTGCGCACTTCGCAGCCACGCAGGGCGCCGTGGGGTCCCGACTGGGTCCGCGTACCATTCCTCTCCGCTGGACGTCCCAGGAGCCCACGAAAACGCAGGGCGCCGCGGGGTCCCGACTGGGTCCGCGTACCACTCCGCTCCGCTGGACCTCCCAGGAGCCAGCGAAGGTGGCGGCAGTTGCGCACTTCGCGACCACGCAGGGCGCCGCGAGGCCCCGACTGGGTCCGCGTACCACTCCACTCAGCTGGACCTCCCAGGAGCCCACGAAAGCGGCGACAGTTGCGCACGTCGGCGCCCCCCAGGGCGCCGCGGGGCCGAAACTGGGTGCGGGTACCGCTCCACTCCGCTGGACCTCCCAGGAGCCCACGAACATGCCCGCGATTGCGCAGATGGCAGCTCCCTGGGGAGCCGCGAGCTCCCAACTGGGTCCGTGTACCACTCCACTCTGCTGGACCTCCCAGGAGACCGCGAAAGTGGCTACGGTTGCACAAATCGCAACCACACACGGAGCCGCGAGATCCCAAGTGGGTCTCCGTACCACGCCACTCCGCTGACCTCCCAGGAGCCCGTGAAAGTGGCTACAGTTGCACAAGTCGCAACCACGCAGGGAGCAGTGAGGTCCCAAGTGGGTTCGCGTACCATTCCAACCCGCTGGATCTCCCAGGAGCCCACAAGAAGTGGCGACAATTGCGCACTTCGCAACCACGCAGGGCGCCGCGAGGTCCCAAGTGGGTCCGTGTAAAACATCACCCCGCTGGATCTCCCAAGAGCCAACGAAAATGGCGACAGGTGCGCACTTCGCATCCACTCAGGGAGCCACGAAGTCCATTGGGACCAGTTGAACTGGGTCCGCGTGCTACTCCACTTCGCGCGACATCCCAGGAGCCCGGGAAGGAAGCGACACTTGCTTACTTCGCAGCCCCCCAGGGAGCCGCGAGATCCCAACTGGATCCCCGTGCCACTCCACTCCGCGCGACCTCCCAGGAACCCACGAGCATGGCGACAGCTGCGCAATTCGCAACCGCCCAAGGAGCCGCGGCGTCACAACTGCATCCCCGTACCACGCCACTCCGCGCGACCTCCCAGGAACCCACGAACGTGGCGACAGTTGCGCAACTCGCAGCCACGCAAGGAGCCGCAAGGTCCCACTGGGTCCGCGTACCACTCGACTCCGCTGGACCTCCCAGTAGCCAACGAAGATATCCACAATTGCGCACTTCGCAACCACGCAGGCGCCGCGAGGTCCCAACTGGGTCCGCGTACCACCCCACTCCGCTGGACCTCCCAAGAGCCCGCGCAAGTGACGACAGTTGCACCATTCGCAGCCCACCAGGGATGCAAGCAGGACGAAGGAGAGAAGGGAGGAAGAAGAGAAGGAAAAGGCGACAGGAGGCAAGAGGCAGGAGGGCAGGGGAGGAGGATAAAAAGCTCGACTACGGCGCTCGAACCACAAGGCACCGATACTGGGACTCCCCTGACCTCTCCCGGGGATGTGCTCCGACCAGAGCCTGACAGAACAAACGCCCAGCCGTGGCGGCGAGGGCTCCCCAGGACGAGCAGCGGCGTCGGCATGTGTGCTTCCTGCCCCTCCCCGCTGCCCCCTGCCTCCCACACCTGCCCTGGGAACGCAAAGGCACCGACGCACCGCCACTCCCCGGACCTCTCCTGGGAGGCACTCTGGCCAGGACTTCGAGGCGCACCCAGCCGTCGCGAGGAGTGATGGGTAGCGGTGTCTATATTCGAGCAAGAGCTCGACTGCATAATTGCTTTACTCCACAATTCATTTGCCGCCGAATATATGAACACATGCGCATAATGTCCCGTTGTTTTACGAACATGCCACGCGTGTCTTGTATATTCGGCTGGAAAATCAATGTCGGAGTAAAATGATCGGACAAAAACGGGAAACGCCCCTTTCCTTCAACTGGGAGTATTGGGCGAAGAGGAAGAAAAGGAAGGCGAGGGCGACGCGAAAAAGATGACGAGGACGATGTGGAGAACATGAGGATCACGAGGAGGAGCATGACAACAACGAGGAAGAAGAGAAGCACAAGGACAAGGACGATGAGAACAAGAACGAAAACGAGGAGGAATGCGGAGGACGACGACGACGACGGAGGACAGTAAGAGGCAATTGGGGAAGGACGCTCAATCAGGAGAGGATCGTGGTGACCCTATCGGGTTACCCTGGGGGATTCCACGCGTTTCTTGTACATTCGGCGGGGGATCTAAATTGGAACGAATGTTCGCAGCGAGTTGCCCACTCCGCTCGCAAACATCCCACCCACCCACCCGCAA